CATGTGCAATGTCCAGTGAGAGAGCCATAGTTAAAATAGCCAATGCCTTCTCTTGTTCCTCGATAGACTCGAAATCTTCATCGGTATAATTTTCGATTTTCTTTTCAACCACTTGACCCCCAACTGTGGTAGTGATTCTGACTGGATCCTTTATGATGCATTTCCAAATATTAAAATCTTTCATCTTTATATACTTCTCAATTCTATATTTCCACTCAGGGAAACCATCAGCGGACATAAGCCTTGGAATGCGCGTGGTTGTACCCATCACAACATCGAGTTCTTGATATTGGTTGTTATTTTGTGAGTCCATTTTTTTTAAAGTTAATTAATTATTAATAAAACTGAATTTCGAAAACTTACTTAATATACAGTTTACTGAAAATTTATTAATTAAGATTCAAGACAGGTTTACTGCCGAGAAATGTTTACGGCCCAAGAAATGTTTACGGCCGTAAACTCCTTGTTTACGGTTCGTGAAAATATTGATTTCCAAAATAGAAGATTAAATTGGTAATTTGTATAAAATCGATTAACAGATAATCAATTTGCTGCCAGTGATTTTCTGTTAAGAATTTATTTTATTTTAAGAATTTAAATGCAATGAAATACGATTATTGAAGCCTTAAGTCAGGAACTTGATTTGCTGGAGAAGAGAATAGTTTGCGGTGCTTGAATCTTGATTAGCTTGCGGCCGTGAACTTGATGTTTACGACCGTAAACTCGGATGGTGAACCTCTGAACACATAGAATTCGATTGGAATAAAACCCTTCTTTCATTGTAATTATCTTTTTGAGCAAAATCGCAACTGTAGGACGTCTTCGACATTGGTTTTGCTCTGATACCAATTGTAAAACCCAAAAATGGATCTACCAATGATCAAAGACAAATAACAGAGGCTAAAGATAAAACAATAAGCAAATAACGAATGAACCAAGCCTGCATACGCCTTAAAGCAATAAAACGTCTGATACAACTTGGAGAAAATACGAAGGCATCAACAACCTATCTATCTGATGCAACACCCTATTTATAGACCCCATGACCGTGATTAGTTTACGGCCGTAAACTCTATTACCACCGCAAACTATTAAAAAAAAGTTTTTCATACGCAACCCCTATCACTAGCTACTATACCTAGACCAAACCATTTTACATGGCCTTTCAAACCTAATTTCTTTTACTAGGTTAAATGCATGAGGTGTGTATATGATTCGTTAAAAAGTGTTCAATTCAAGGAATGAACCGAATTTGAATAGTTGTTATAGTTAAACTAACTATAGAAGTCACGTATCAATGTGGAATCTAAGTACAATATCCTTCCATTCTACTTGTTTCCCAGTTTCTAGTAGGTTATAACTTAGCTTCTAGTTACTAAGTCTAGTATGTGTCATGCCTACACGTGCAACTAAGTTTATCAATTCTTGAACCGACACGAATTTTGACGGTTATCACACTTATCTATTGTACGCATCATTTGACTAGGTTAGAGTTCGACAACAGCTTGTGGGAGCTAGGATTGCTAGTCAGGATTTCGGAGTCGTACTTGAAATAATAGTTATTAGATTTATCCAAGTGAGAGATTGTTGAATTAGATGTCTAAGCCCATAACTATAATTGTTATGTACTTGACCCGAGAGTAGCATGGTACATTTGGTTTCCCTTCACCAGAACAATCTGATGGGATGGATATTTGAGAAAGAGGCTATTTATGATTTACTAATATATTATAAGTATAATATATTAATTGAGAAATCATATTATTTAATTATTATTGATAAAGAATTAATTTGGAATTAATTTAGGAATGCAAAGAGACTAATTAAATTAATGGGGGACTGATTATCTAAATCGGTGATATATAGTGTTTGGGCTATTGATCCATGATGGGCTAAGTTTAAGTAAGTATCCATAAGAGTTAGCCCACATGAGATATGGATCATAACCCAAGTGTATGGATTAGGATTTACCCATGACTCATGGAATCCTACACTATATAAATGTCACCCCTTAGCCAAAATCGACACCCTATGCATTTTAAGAGAATCATAACCAATTTGAGTGTGTCTAGCCTCTCTCTCAAAGTCCTCCTTGGTTCATGGTGTTTGTGTAGCATTTGAGACATTGCACTTGAGGTCCTATGCTCTTGAAAGGCCAAAACTAAAACCTACAATAAAGAGGTATTATTCTAACTAGTTGCTATGGTTCATGTACCGAAACTGTATGCTAGTTGTAGGCATCATGTTTTGAAAATTTTATTGCATGTATAACTAAAGAAAACTTAGATCAAAAGCTATTAGGGTTTTATGTGCACCATAGAAGTGTTATAGCACACAAAACTTAATAGCAATAATATACAGGACCAGACGAGTACGACGCTACTAGCCGCTAGATAAAACAGGTCCGCTTGTGACTCGAAAAGTCGGGACAACTGGAGAAATGGGAAATAGAGTTGGGGGAACATGACATAGAATACCGGCCATAAAGCACTATCAATGCCTAGGACTTAGCAAACTTCCTGGTAGAAATATCAGACATATTTAGGTGAATACTAAAGGGCTTACCTGCAGAGCCGCTGAAGCCTGAAGCAAAAAAAGACGTATAGGAACTACACACCGATGGTGCTGCAAGTAAGGAGGGTTCGGGCACGGGCTTGATTCTAAAAAACCTCAGGAAGGACGAAATAACATACGCCCTAAGATTCGATTTTCAAGTATCAAACAATGACGCCAAATACGAAGCGCTCCTTGTGGGCCTTCACTTGACGCAGGAAGTCGGGGAGAAAAACCTTTGAGTGTTTAGCGATTCGCTGCTATTAACGAACCATGTAAATGTAACTTACAAAGTGAAGGATTGGAGAATGCAAGGATACATGGAAAAGATGCAATAGCTAGCACACTCGTTCAAGAACTTTGAAATCAAACAAATACCAACGACAAAAATAAAAGAGCCGATGCTCTTAGTAAATTGGCCTCAACTTCCTCTGACCATTTAACCTAGAAGGTGCTTGTAGAAGTAGTCAGAGAAAGTAGCATCGACAATAATCAAGTCGATGTCATGATATAACTACCAGACTGGACTAAACTATAGCTAGATTACTTGCGTCATCAGATCCTCCCAGATAACCCAGAAGTGGCCAACCAGATAAAAATAAAAGTTGCACCCCCCCCCCCTCCAGTTTGCGATGAAAGGCGCACAAACTGTACAAAAGAGGGTATCTAGCATGGTGCCTTAGATGCATCTCACATAACAAACTCCAAGATCTCCTAGAAGAAAGCCAACAAGGGGAGACGGGAGCGCATGAGGGGGCACAAGCGCTCATACGGAAAATACTACGCCTAGGGGTATACTAGCCCAACATGTACAAGAACGTGGCGGGAGTCACAAAGAAATGCCTAAAGTGCGACGCATCCGCCACATTCCAGAACCGACCAGTGAAAACCATGACCAGAATCAACAGTCCATGGCCTTTCCACCAATGGGGAATCAATATCGTGGGACCATTCCTAATGAACTTGTGGGATTCAACTTCCTATTAGTCACAGTTGACTACGTTACGAAGTGGATTGAAGTGGAACCTTTGGCCACAATCGCTGGCAAACAGATGATCAGATTCTTGTGGAAGAACATCCTAAATCGGTTTGGAACTCCCAGGGTCTTGATAAGTGAGAACAACACCCAGTTTGAGGGTAGCCACTTCAAAGAATGATGTGAGGAGAAGCTAATCCACCGTTGCCTTACCTCAGTCGCGCACCCCCAGCTGAATGGACAAATCAAAATATCAAATAAGAATATCATGAATGGACTTAAAAATGCCCAATGAAAACAAAGGGTTCTTGGACTGAAGAGCTACCAATGGTGATGTGGTCATACCGCATCACCGAGAGGTCAGGAACTGGAGAAACACCATTCAGCCTAACATAAAACATAGAAGTGGTGCTCCCGCTCAAGATTCTGAGTGAATCCCTATGGGTGACTGACTTTAACAAGAACTCAAACGAGGAAGAGTGACGACAAGACCTTGATATGCTAGAGGAGAAGCCTCAGGCAGCACAATTGCGACAAGCAACCTGCAAAGCCCGCATGAAAAAACTTCTACAATAAATGGGTGCATGTAAAAAAAGATCAAAATCGGAGAATGGGTGCTAAGAAAGAATGAGGCCATCCACTCGAAGCCGCAGGGCAAGTTGAGCGTGACTTAGGAAGGCCCATACAAATTTGTGGAGACGCACCGAGACGGAGAGTACACAATGGAAGCACAAACTTGAACACCAATACCCCAAATATGGAACGCACATAACCTACACCACTTTTACTTATAAAAGAAATGGTGAATAGAATAGCCAAAAAAGGGGGGAATAGTGTTGCCTGAACTTTCAACCTCGGGGTTGCACCAATGTCAAAGTGACAACATGTAAACCATTGATATTTTCTCCAAGCAGTTTCGAATTAGTAAAGTCTTGCAAGAAAATAGGACCAGTTTACTCATCAACATATATGTATATGCACACAGATGCACATATAAAAACCAAAGGTAAAACATAAGCATTGAGCAAATTTTCCAAACGAAATCACTGGCCAATCACCCACAACATTTAGGCGGACCGAATCGCCAACATGAAACCATAAATATCGAAAGGAGATGATCCCTCAGGGGACACATCAGTTTAGCCAAGAAACAAGGTCTCTATGATCTCGAACCAGACATATTCAAATGGTATGAAGGATGATAACCTTCCCTAAAAAAATGATAATATAATAGATGTAGGTCCAGGGATCATCGAGGTAACGACCTCGAATCACCTTAAGTGAAAAAAAGGAAGGGAGTAGGGCACTCGGCTCACGGCCGAAGTCCAGGCCTACAAAATACTATGTAGGGAGTTGCTTCCCTGAAACAAAGGCAAACATGATGACATTTCAAAAACATACAAACATTAAAAATTGAAAACATTAAAAACAAAAAGCATCTAGTAAAACATCAACCCTAAAATTACCACGTTCACACGTCGCTCTCCATGTCGTCGTCTAGAACAGTGTCCTCCTCCTGAGAATACAATTGGCGAAGATCAGTAAGGCCAAGCTCACCCAGTCTAAGATAAGATGCGATGTGTGTCTTAGCGAAAGCCCTAATGGTAGCGTCCATGGCGTCAGTAGATTGAGCCACGACACCTGATTCAGATAGGTTAGAGCCGCTACCATAGGACAACACAGGTGCCACCTATTTTCCCCTCTCCACACCAGTAGCTACACATGCAGCCTTCACGCGGTAAATCTCGAGCGCAAACTCACTACTCTTGATAAAACGGTACACTATGTGGACCACCCATTTCGAAGAACCCAAGACAAATCAGTATCCAGGACTTTCCTCCTCGATATCTCGGCTACTAGCTCACTGCATCGTAATGCTAAATGTTCCACTAATGCCACTTTCTCTTTAGACAAATCTTGGACCTCCTAAGATAAGCGTTTGAACTCCCCATCCGGAGTCGCCACCTAATCCTCAACGACGATTTTCTCCACATATAGCACAAGACAACGTTTATCAAACTTACACCGCTTTTCCTCGAGGAGACAGAACTTCTTCGCGAGCTTTTCACGCTCCAATTTAACGAGAGAGAACTCCGCTCGGTCAGCCTCGACGTAACGGAGACGGTCGATAGTGACCACCAAATAAGGAGCCACCTAAGCAGCGGCGTACTGAAGATCTGCTGCCATATGAGAATGAAAAAAGGTATCAAGGGCCCCCATTGTAGAATAAGGAAACACAAGATGACACCGTTCACAAGCAACACCCTGCTCAAATAGAAGATAACTGGGTATAAGGTTCCACGCTGGGAGATACACACTAGGGGCACCCAAAGAGGAAGGCCCCACCTTCGACCGTTCATTATCCGAAGCCGAGGGTGAGGTGTCGCAAGCTCCTGCAGCGTTTTTTTTCCATTGACGGTGTGAATAAACCAGATTTGATGCTGAAAACTTGTCACCATCAGAAATATAAATAGCAATAGGTGACGTAGCGGTAAAAGGATTGATGTTGCGTTTTCGGCTTAAGTGTCCACCAATAGTATCACCACCAACATCCTCCCAAAGGGTAGAATCCGCAACATCTGACAGACGATGGGAGACGACCTGTAAGCTAGGTACACTCGACCCCTTAAATAGAGAGCCAACCTCTACTCTCGCCACAATATAAGGGGCCTCGCATTTGGGAGCAGGTCCAACAATAGTAAGAGCTAGTAGTGCCTCCATTAAGGGAACGCCATGATGTTGGAGATCACCCCAAAAATTCCCTCGTAATAGTAGTTCGAGAGACAAAAAAAATTCCTCATCTATAACAACCACAACGCAAGACTAACTTCAAAATGAAAAATGAAGAACAAAGAGTGAGAAACATGACATTAAGAAAATAGGAGGGGAAGGAAGGTAACACTTACCATCGTTATTCATAAGGCATCTTCTTATGTAAATGCCAAGAAACACTCATCCAGGATGCCGCCAATATGCAGTCTGACCAATCCTCGTTGTCAAAACAAATTCCCCTAAGTGCGTAGGCCACAGATAAACCAAACCCCGACAGATGGGGTGCACGGTCCGAAGCCATGGCTACACAAGGAAAGCCTGCACCAACTAAATCATTATTGACCTACAACCATTAATCCTCCAGTTTTTTCGTGGTGCTTTCTTATTAACTATATAGGATTGTGTGTTGTGGCACTAAGAAAAAGTGTGAATGCCTGAATGAGTAAATGAATTAAATAAAGATTGGAACGCTTGAAAATGAGGAACTACACTCAACATCCGACACCCCAACTCGAACCCAACTATTTTGTTCGCGACGTTCGTGGTCAGATCGTGCACAGAATAACCATACTTCTGCATGACTTTATTGAAGAAGCATGAAACATGAAGACGAAACTTGGCCTCGAAAATCACCACTGGAATACCGACCTCCCCCCTGGTGGTTGACAAATAGTAGATCCCTCCGATAGGAAATGGACCCCATGCTTAGGCATAAACCTAAATTTGAACTGAAGAGTCTCAAAATCCTTGGGTGTAGGGATAATTCTATATCTGATGGAAGCCATCGAAAACCAAAAAGGAAAAATTTAAGAGAAAAGAGGAAGGATGAAGAAGGTTGAGATCGCAGGTTATGGAGAGAAGAAGTATGTAACTATTCTTAGAAGCAGGGGACATTTATAAACATTTCAAAAAGAAGAAAAGAGAGAAAAAACTGAAACGACACACTTTCGACAAACGACTCTATTACGATGGAAACACCTCATGAATCGCTCCCATTCAACGTGTGTCCATACATAAGCTAGAACTACTCAACTACTTTAAGAGAACGTTAAGTTCCACTAACGTGGGGGACTTGTTGACGTACCCCACTGGGAATCTATCATATACAATGGAGCTATCAGCCTGACAGACGAATCCGAGCAACGAACAACTAAAACCGGGTCCTCGTGCTCACTACTTCCGTCACGCTCCTGTGCTTATTCATTAGCGCCTAAGAATCAAGGCTAGATTCGAGACAAAAACACTACCAACCCACTCATAGGGAAACAGGTATGGTACCTAAAGAATCACATGTAACAAACCTACGCCAATGGAAGGCAACCACTTACGGAACATGGTTCACCAATCAGAGCTCACCAAGCTCTGACAAAATCTGAAAAAGTAGAAAGTACTGTCGGGGATCTGTTCCCCCTAACCAGAGGTATAAAAGGCACCCTTCCCCCTAAGAGAAGGGACCGAGACATAAAAACCCATTAACACTCTCTTTACACTTTCAACCCTCTCTCTCCCAGACTCTCACTGACTTGATCGTTAGAGCCTCGTTCCGGGACAATCTCCTAGATGACGACTGACGGTCTTATCTTTTTTGTTGTGATCAAAAGGCTCTTCATTTTCACCCTCGGAGAGACGGAGTAAAGTCAGTGACATATCACCACAATATATATATATATATATATATATATATATATATATATATATATATATATATATAACCACTAAAACTATGTAGTTTTATCTGAATTCAAATAATACAAAATTAATTTCCCTATTATTTCCTTTTCTTCCCACTATAATATTGACAAAAATGCAAGAATAGTCTATGTGGGATATCAGAAATTATCACTTTAGACCAAAAAGGTTTGCATTAGCACCAGCGGTCCAAATGTGTTATTTTGCGGCGAGTTTGGTCAGTTTTGTTTTGAGTTTTAATAAAATGACATATTTTCCTTTTGTAAAAAAAATAATTTTTTTTATTACCGAAATAAAAAAAGAAAACAAAAAGATAAAATACGCTTTCTCTCTCTCTCTCTCTCTCCCTCTCTCTCTCTCTCTCTCCCTCTATCTATCTATTTATCTATCTATCTATCTATCTATCTACCTATCTATCTATCTGTGTTTGATAAATACCCAAAACATTTTTCATAGATATAAGAACACTCAAGAATATATTCCTCCACCACCACCGTCTGCCACCTACATCTCCATCTAATTTTTTTTATTCCACTTTATCTCCGCCAAAAAATCACCCTAGCAACAAAAACCATACACAAAATCAGATATGATGAACACACACATAATCAGAACAAATGAACACACATACATGCACATACAAACAGAAAACCAAAAAAACACACATAGATCAATACAAACATCCTTCGGCTTTTCTGCACATTCAACACAAACACACACATATTAAACAAACAAACACACACAAATACACACACACACAGACAGAAAGAGATTATACACACACACACACATACAAACCCCCAACATCGATTCATAGATTTTAGGAGACATTCTAGTGTTATAAAGCTAAAACTATTTAAATTTCAGTATCAAAAAATATTTTATATTTAAAAATTTACTTTATTTAAACTATAGTTTAATTTAGCAGTCTACAAATGTTAAAAAAACAACAGTCTTCTTCTTACACACTATAGACATTTAGTCCATCTCTTTTAATGTAGAAGTCTACTAACATGATCTGTAAACTGTAGACATTTTGCCTATGAAAAAACAAACATTTCAACAAAGGTATGACTGAATTGCTGAGTTCGTAATTTTGATACATGAGTTTGCCATTGGATACCATAAATAATTTCCATGGTTATATCCATACGTGCCTTAAAACATTATACATGTAGCTTTGAAATCTATATATCCTGTGAATTTATATATATATATATATATATATATATATGTATATATATATATAATTTGTGTAGGTAAGGTGTTTGGTTGTTTAACTTTGAATCTTATATTTAACTAATCATAAAAATACTTCTTTAATGAATGTATAGGTTTGATTTCTTGCTTGGCTGAAGATTTTGTGTACAATTGTTGTGTACACTTATAAAAACAAGATTTGTCAACTAGTTTTCTTGTAAATTTAATATCTTTCGTATGTGTGTGGCATTTTAATATACACGGGTTACCATTTGAGGAAGGAATTGACGTTGAGTTACTTGAGGAAGCAAAAACAATATTGTGGAACGGAACCAATAATGCATTAAAATTACATGATGTAGCATATTTAGGAAATGTATTTAGTAAGTGTTTATATTCATAGCTGAACATGTGCATGTTCATATTTGTATGTTCAATATTGAACTTGTACGAACATGATCAATTTTGGGGTTTTGTAACAATCTTCATATATGAAAGTAAGCATATTATATAAGTTATAATAATTATAACTTCTCTCAATGTTTATGTTCATTTGTGAACATAGTCAAATTGTAATGACCAAGATTCATACCAAGTACACCCCAAAAATTTCATTTCTCATTTAAAACTTACAAGAATTTTGGTGTACATTATCATTCTAGAATACAAGTAGTTATCACAACGATTGTATTGGCCACAAGTAAAGAATCGAGTCAGGTGTGATAATAAAGTACCTAGAAAACAAATCATCACAACATAAGCCTCATAGCTTAGTGAATAATAGCTACAGTAATTTAATGACTGTAACATCCCGGAATCGCAAGAGTAGAGTTGAAGGGCTAAAAGTGTAAGTTTTAGAGGATGACTCGGCGAGTCCATGGATAGACTCGGCGAGTCAGGTCGCGGTCATGGTCGCGTGTCAAGTGGCCTACTCGGCGAGTCCCAAGGATGGACTCGGCAAGTAGGTGCTGTATGGAGAAAACCCTAATTTTCGGGGTTGAGCCTTATATAAAGAGCATTACACCCCTCCACAGCCTCCCTTATTCCCCCCTTGAGTTCCAGAAACCCTAAATTCATAGAGAGTTCATTTGTGGAGCAAATTAGAGCTTGGAGAGGTGTTGTTTGAAGAGATCTTGAAGGAGAAGTGGCTTGGATCAAAGGGCTTTGCTTGGATTCGAGTTTGGTTGCTATTGAGGCACCTTTTGGAGATAACACTTTCGTTCTTGTGCTGTATCTTCCTAGTTTCTCATTTTGGGGTTGTGTGGGGTTCTTGGTTGTGTGGCATTTTGATGTTGGAGGATGGATCTGAGGTAGCTACCTCAGATCTGGAGTGGGGAAGACCTTAAGAGCATTAAAGCCCCTGTTCTTGTGTTGTTAATGAAGCTACCATGTCCCAAACCTTGGTTTGAAGGTGAATATGGCTTAGATCTCGTTAGATTCACGTAAAGTTTGCCACTTTACGTGATGGATGGATTGTAGGAGGTTGGATCTATGTTTTGGATCAATTGCATGGCCTGAGATGCTTCTGTATGGATTCAAACCGGTGGTACTCGACGAGTTGCTTGAAGATGGCCTGGAACTTGACGAGTTGGAAGAACAACTCGGCGAGTAGGTTGAAGATGGCCATGGACTCGACGAATCCATTTGGACTCGGTGAGTCTTGTCGAGGAAGTCCCAATATTTCTGGTTCAATCGAGGAATCGGTGAGTCAAGGGATGACTCGGTGAGTTGGGTGCGAGTGGACTCAGAGTCGTTGGACTCGACGAGTCTTGGGGTGACTCGGCGAGTTGGGTCGCTGATTGAAGGAAGTTCTGAGTGTATGGACTCGGCGAGTCATCGGGTTGACTCGGCGAGTAGGGTCAGTCAGGGGTTGACTTTGACTTGTCCAAGGTTGACCAGTTGTCTTCCAGGGGTATTTTGGTAATTAAGGGTATTTATTGAGTTGTTTGTTTTGATGTTCAGTGGAGGAGTTCGTGTCAGAGTTCGGAGCAGCGGGATCTTATCTTTTCAGCCGACAGTTTCGAGGTGACTTATCCTCACTATATCAACAGGGTCTAAGG